TTTTTTGAAGAACTTTGACCATCAATAGCAGAGGAGCCAGACATATTTTGTGAATAAAGTTAGGTCAGATCGTCTTTTGTTGATTCAAAGAATATCGCAGTACCCTATTGATCATGTGCTTACGGGACAGCCTGTATTTTTAAGAAAATGAATAAATTGCTTTTTTAATGAAGGAGGATTTCAAATTTTCTTTAGCAAAGCTTTACATTTTAGATACAGTGGTTCAGATATGCTACTGGATTTACAAAGGGAACCTTCAGGAAAATTCCAGAACTTTTGTAGAATGTCCGCAGAGGATTTCGAATACCTTTTGAATAAAATTGGGCCAAAAATAAAAAAACATGATACTAATATGAGACAAGCCATTCCAGTACAAGAGCGACTAGCAGTAACTCTACGTTTTTTGGCTACTGGCGACTCATTTACTAGTCTTGGATACTTATTTAAAATATCACACTAGTCCATAAGTCGCATCGTGCCCAATGTTTGTGAGGCTCTCATTGAAGTACTACAGGATAAAATACGGGTAACACAAAAATAATTTATTATTGTTTATAATCTTTATTTTTGTAATTTTTCACTGATGATTTTTGGAATTTAACAAATCATGCACATTAGTATAATAGGTTAGGAGTGATGTGTTATTAGATGGAGAACTGGTATAGAAATTAGGGTCTCCTGTAGTACCTACAGAGACTGGTTTGCTAATAGACTGAGAATAAAGGTGTTGATTATCATTTTCTTGTGAAGTTTGGAAGGGTTCCGGAGAATTAGAATTTAAATTTTCCTTAGAAAAATGGGCGGGTGCTGGGTAACCTACACAACTCGAGCTGGAAGAAAAATGACTGCCTGATGGAGAAGAATATTGTGCTGGTATAGAATTTTGTGAAATAAAATTAGTGGTAACGGACCGTCCAGCTGTGGTACCAACACTATCAATTTCACTAAGTTGGGCTTGAAACACAAGATTATCTATTTCATTCTGCAAAACAATTTGAGTTCGTGGTTTTAATTGTCTAAGTTTCATGGCCAACAGCTTCCCATACAACGCAGGCGAATCTTGCACTATCTGTGGTTGTGATTTCGCAGCAAACGTTGCCAGCGCATCACTTGCAAGTTTCAAGTGTTTGTTTATATTTGCTTCGGTGATATTTGGACCTATTCGTCTTTTATTGCCTAGAGCGCGAGGAGGAAAAGTAAAATTTGCATCTATTCGCTTTGGAGCGACGTCTTTAATTGTTTCGTGGTCAGGTTCATTTGTGTGCTCTTCTACTTCTTCATGCTGCAATAGGTCCTGTTCATTCCGCGAATTTGCTTCCTTCGTCTCACTTTCCTGGAGAAAAAATCTTTTAGTTGCGTACTGGTCATTTTATAAAGAAACGTAAATAAAATGTAAAAAAATATAACGATTTTATGACAAAAATATGACGACGATACGCCACTCAACAATAATCTTTATTTTATTCCCCTTTTAGTTGCYTCAATCACCGRAAGATTGGAAAATAATTGAAAATGGATTTTATCAGCGACGGAACTTTCCTCATTGTCTGGGAGCAATCGATGGAAAGCATGTTGTACTGCAAGCTCCATTTAATAGTGAATCATCTTATGGCACTGATTGATGCAGATTATTGTTTTACTTTTATTGACGTTGGTGCACAAGGACGAATGAACGACGCTGGAGTCTTTGCGTCCACAACACTTTATCGCAAAATRTTACGCAGGGAACTTTCGTTTCCTCCAAACAAACCCCTGCCAGGACGCCACGAGAGCGTACCATATATTTTTGTAGGTGATGATGCATTCCCTCTTAGTGGTTCACTTTTAAATGCATATTCTGGAACTCATGCAAAGGGTAGCATCGAACGCATTTTTAACTACCGCCTTTGTAGAGCACGAAGAGTTGTGGAGAACGTCTTTGGAATTTTAGCGTCTATATTTCGTGTTTTCAGAAAACCAATGTTGATACAGCCCGAAAAAGCTGCTATGGTTTGCATGACATGTGCACTTCTTCACAACTTTCTCCGCCGAAGTAATACATCTAGGCAGATCTATACTCCAAGTGACAGTTTTGATTATGAAGCAGATGGACATTTAATGCCAGGATCATGGCGCCAAGACACCGCAAGCTCGTCGCTTCTCCCCCTTGGTAAAACACCCAGAAAACCATCGGAGGAGGCAAAGTATATTCGAAAGGAGTTTGCTGAATATTTCGTATCCAATGGAGCAGTTGAGTGGCAAAGTTATGTTAGTTAACGGATTAATAATAAACGTTTTTTGTTTAGTAAATTAATTAATTGTAATAAAATTACCTCTGAACTTAGCGTTGCTGTTTTCTTTCCTGTGGCCTTAATAAAGCGGTCTATGTTCTCATATGCAAACCATGTTGGTTTAAATACATCTCTTGCTCCAGATCCAGTTGTTTCGGTGACTCGTACTTTTCTTGATAAAGGTCTATAGGTGGCCATAAGTGATTCTTTTTTCTTTCGCAATACTTCAACATTAATTCGCGTGCAATATCCAGCCAAGCATCATGTAGAAGGTTTCTATTTTTATGACCCAAGTGTTTGGGATCCCAAAGAATTGGGTATTTTTCGTATAAGCTGATGAATTCCAAAACTAATTCATTGCTCCATTCCATTTTCGTAAAACCTCTAAAATCACATCAGTCTGTTTAAACTATGCACGAATTCTCTAAATTAAGCTATTGTAGTGATAATCCGTAGTCAAATAATGAATTTATTTATAAATGTGGGTTTTTTACTTAATTACCTTTACATGAATCTTATTCATGAAAACATTTTGATAGCTGTTAATGCTGTTAAAAAAGACTTTCAAAATGACGTTGAGAAAACCACCCAAAATCAATTTTTTTTCAAATTGAAACCCCCATTTTTGATAATTTCGTCTATTCCAAAAGTGTTTAGTCTTCGAAATATTGCATTTTATTATTGTCCATGACTTTTGCGTTGACGGTATATTTGTGCTTTTCAAATAAACCATTATTCCACAAAGAATCAGTAAAAGCGAGCCAGCATTGAGATAATTTAAGAATGCTTCTAGTATTTATGCTTATATACATAATTTATAGCGAGTATGGCAACAACGCTCGATCGACGATTGATGACGTGCGACCAAAGTTATAGCGTACAGACTATACAGGGTGTCCCACCGGGAACCGCCTCGATCGATATTTGACAAAATATAATTAGGAGAAATTTGAAATATTTGAAATTTTACGTAAAAAATTACAGTTGCAACCACTCGAATAATTATAATTTTCCCTATAAGGGAATATGTGCTATTTAATGGCGTTACTTTAATGGAATTTCGACAAAATTTTGATAACTATTAATACAGTGTTAAAAAAACAAGTTTCAAATTCCGAAAAAACCGCCCAAAATCAATTTTTCCAAATAAATCGCCAATTTTTGATAATTTTGTCCTATTCAGTACTAAAAATTACGGTAAGTTTGTGCAAAGTTGTCCCTTCCAAAAGTGCTTAGTTTTCGAAGTATGGTCAATTTAATGTCTTCATATGGCTATTTTGCCGCATCTTATTTTAAATCTTGTTAATCTTAGTTGCCTAGACGAAAGTCGTCATTCATTCAAACGAAGATTATTTAAACTTATTTATGGAGAATGTGATAAAAAGTTATAGCAAGAACCGTTTAATATTATTAATTAATTATGTCAATAATGTTTTTTCGAAATCTAGGATCTCTAATTTTTCTGGTTGCCTTTATAATTTGAACATGCACTGTTATTTAGAAGCATTCAAAATTTTTGAAATATTCAATAATTTGTTTAACAGCACAGTGAAAAGGCTTCTGTTTTTGTGGATATCTAATGGCAAATTGAAATTTCTCCTAATTACAGTTTGTCAGATATCGACCGCGGCGTTTCCCGGTGGGACACCCTGTATGTAGATAATAAGCTACATGCAAAGGGACTACTCTATGAGACAAACTCACCTTGTACTGGGAGAAACAAAAAGGGCACAAACACTCAGTATGTCGATGAATAACCAATTTTATCTAGGCAATAACGACGACTAACTTTATTTTCCAAATATGTATCCCACCTACCCCCGATTTCGAAAATTTGAAAGAGAAGGGAAAAAATCGTTCACATTTTAAGTGCTGTTTCATTTAGGTGACACTTGTTCACAGCTTTGGTTTCTAATTTAATGTTTTCGCACGCAAAATCATGTTAAGTGTTTAAAACTCAATTTCCTTAAAACATAATATTAAGGGCTCCGAGGACAGATGCAAAGCGGTCCGGTATCGAATTACCCTTTAACCAGATTTCGTTTTGTTTTATGGTTTTTGGACAGGATGACCCATGCTTCAAACTAGAGATGAGCTAAAGGGTGATTTCAAAATCACCGTTATAACTTGTGATTTTTTTATCTGTGAATTTAACCTGTGAATGTAATTTCACTTATGGTTGCCGTTTTGGTGATGGTGATAGCAGCGTTATAAGGTGATGGCCATTGTGCCTCACTTGCAGAAACAATTTAAATTTTTTAAATTAGATTAATTAATTTTTTTTATAAAATTTAATTAAAAGTTTATAAAAAACAAACTATTTCGAACGAAACGTGTAGCCGTGCATCAAATCAACGAATGTCTTTCTTCGAGGGTTGCAACGATTCCTTTGACTCGGTCAAAAATACCGACAAGAGCCGGAACATGC